AAATTGCCAGAATGTTATGATCCTGATGGACTATGTAGCATCCTTGCCCTAGACCTGGAGATCAAAGTAACCGTGTGGTATTGAAAGAAATGAGCAGGGTTTTTTTTAGATTAATAAATAGGATTAGGTGATGGGCGATTGCTATTAGAGGAGAGGATATCATTTTCACAAGAATAGCAATATCATAAAAGATAGGCAATATCTTTAGCTAAACCATCTTTTAATGTCCAGATACAAGCTAATAGCCCTAAGGTATTAATATACAAGTTAAAAACAATTTTGTTTAGTATTTGAGGTACATGTTTTTGTTATTTATCTTCCCTCTTTTGCTTTTTTCCTGCTCTTCGTGCATGTATAACAAGGAAAGGAAGAAGTGAAGAGTGTATTTCAGGGAAATGTAAGCTGAAGAGCGATCTTCTACATATGTGGGAACATGCAAACTTCTGTTCCTTTTGTGAAGTGGGTCTACAAGTCACAAGGTGCATTTGGCTTCAACAGAGGAAGCATGTGGTGCAGATTGCATTCTTTTTTTCTATATCTTCTTCTTTGATTAGCTGGAGGCAGAAAAGGTCCACATTGCTGTTTCAAAGCTTTCTGGCAGCAGATCTGGAAAATATTTTTTTGGAGATGTGCTGCCCCTCAAACGTAAGCAGTGCCGGGCTCTGATCAAAGCAAACGTCGCATGTCACATTTCTCTCTCTCTTTTAAGCTAACCTGGAGATATTGCCTGATATATCAGTAATTTGAAGGGATTGGGCAAAGAGAGCGTAATGCAGTGAGGATCTCTCTTTGTCTTCTGTAGGTGAAGGCAAGAATCTGGAGAAGCAGAGGCTTCTGGGACTGTTTTCCTCTCAAGAAGCCCCTGTGGCTATGTAATTGCTAAGTGGAATTACATAATGTTTGCATGTCTGCAGCTTTGCTTTTTGGCAGCTCTCTGAAACATTCCATTAACACAGGGAGGATCTTCTGCTTTTGCCTTCACCACCTTCTGCATTCAAAACGTGTGACTCTATTGCTTCCCTTCACAGGCACAGAGAGGAAATGATTTATAAGCTGGGGCCACTGACAGGCAGGCCGAGGGATAACTTGCATAGGTGTGGAAGAATACTGAGCTGAAACTATTTGTTTATTAAGTTTCTTTGTGGCCAAAATCCAGAGGTTTAGACGTCTTGTTATAGTAAGTCAGGTTAAGCGAGTCTCTGAATTTTCTTGGTAACATTTCGGAAACAGCTTGTCAGTATTTTAGTCCTAAAGGTGCGAGAGAGTGACTGGCCCAAAGTCACCCAGCCAGCTGTGTGCCTAAGGCAGGACTAGAACTCACGGTCTCCTGGCTCCTAATCCAGTGCCTTAACCATTAGACCAAACTGCCTCTTTTCCCAGTATTAGGCAGCTAATAGCAGGAATCTGTATTCAGTTTTATTAGTTATTGCCACTTCTGACCTTTTCCCCCCCCTTTATGTTTCCCTAGATAGCACGTGGTTTCTCCTAAGCCCAGATCTAACAGGATGTTTTCATTTCTTTCTCTGTCTGCATTTAGGCTGTTTTTGGTGTCCTCCACAAAATCTACATTATCGGCCCTCATTTTGCTGCTAAAATTCTCTTAACCTAAAGTTAAAACTGCTGGCTGGGGAATTCTGGGCGTTGAAGCCCACACATCTTAAAGTTGCTGGGGTTGAGAAAACTGGCCTAGGGTAAACATGAGCGACTTTTTTTGCGGGGCGGGGGGCAGAGTGATGAAGAGGCAGCTGCAGCCTATTCATTTTCACATCCATAGATTGCTCAGGCATAGCCCTGCCTGCCATTCTGTCACTTTTCTGGTATTTCCTTAAACCAGCCCTGCTTAGGCTATATTGAGAGTTTCCGTGAAAGCATTGCTCTTTGGCTTGCTGCCAGATGAAGGCAGCAAGCAGAGATGCAGAGCAAGGTAAAGAAGTCTGTGACATTGACCTGATGTCAAAGACAACCTTTGACCTAGTGTGGAATCTCTAAATGTTGAAGTCCAATCTGGCTGAAGCTTTTCCTGAAACATGCTTGCAGGCACCTTCATCTTATACAAACTGCTTTGAGAACTCTTTGTTTCAAAACAGCATATAAAAATCTGTCTAAATAGTTTATACTGATCACAGAATTCAGTTTTCTTGTACAAATTTTGATTGTTTTAACCCACACTATTTGTTAATGAAGAACATTTAATGTTTTGAGGTCTCATTTGCTCCCTTGTAGTCCCTCCAAAGGCTCAAAGTGATAGCAAACCATCTGGTTTGAACTGATGAGACAAAGAGGTGTATAATTCCCAGTGCACAGTTCCATCCTAAAGTATACAGTGTCATGTTGCAAGCTTCAGGCAACCCACAGGCCTTGGGGAGAAGAAAGGAGACAGAGAGCCTGTAGATTACATGTCAGACTTGAGCGATGCATTCCTCTGGTTTACTGATGGAATGTGGTTATGGGGGGAGCTCCCTTGCTGTCTCAACGTCTTACACCCTGAGTGGTGGTGGTGGGGACTTTAGCAACAAGAGTGTGGTTTGCTCAGAGAGCTGTAGTTTGCAAACAGCGTGGCAATTTTTTCCTTGCCTGTGTTAAAACCTGCCTGCGTTTAGAAGTGGCAGAATTTTCCTTCTGCTTCCTTTTTTTTTAGGACTCAGGTTTCTTGAGGCAGCAGTGATGTGGAAAAAGAATTTCCACTTGGATCACTCCCCTACCTCCAAGTTGAGACCGATTCTTTTCTTTAGCCCCAAGGTGTCATATCTCTCTGCTCATTCCTTCCATTCCACTCTTTAGTTCATCACCCTGGACCTTGTCTTTGGAAAATAGAGAAGGAAGCTTTCGAAAGCTGCCAAGCAATTTTCAAGCACTATTGTTTCCATGTTGTTTCCTTCCATCTTTTAGAAGCTTGAACTGCAATCAGTGCAGGATAAAAGTGAAATTGCAGATGTGAATGCTTCTCTGCTGAATTCAGGGGAGAAACCAATGTACAAGAAGCAATTCCCCTTTATTACATGCTCTCTCAAAAAGTTAGGAGTTCACTGGTTGGATTTACTGGGGAAAAAACATGTATTTAAACCCAACTTCATTGGAATTGACTGTTTGGGATTTGAGAGTATTGTCAAGCATGTTTTTTTTTCTCCCCCCCCCACCCCCCAGGCACTTATTTGTATCAGATATGTGCAACAGCCTTTATCTCTATATCCTTATCATTCATGAAGGTCCAGTTGGTGACTCCTGTTTTTGGAGGGGCTTCTGTCCCTTATTATCTTAAAGCTTAGAAACCGATGATAGGTATATAAAGATGGAATCTTCCCTAATTTGATAAGGGATAGATTAGACAGTGATTTTATCTCACTGCTGCTTATTGTGTCAGGGATCAAAAAAAGTTACAAGGACAAGTTAGATCTGGCTTGAACAAATTGTGAAAGGGTTCTTAGGGTTGCAGTGGGAGTAGAAATGGGGACAAGTTTATTAGTAGTATTAGGGTACTTCAACACTTTCATGCTGCAACCCTAAGAATCATTTTTAAAATACCTCACCATTGACCCCATGGCTGTGATCCTGGGAGTACTGAGATTTCCAGATGAGCTTAACAGTGCAGGTCACAAATACAGGAGTGGGGGGGAAAAAAACAGCATCCAGGCAGCAACACTCCCCGCTACCTTCCCCTTATCCTTAGTTCATGCTGATTTTTTCCCCTTGGTGATGTAAAACAAAACTGATCGGTTGCTGTCCAGTATTAAAAGGCTAGTCTGAGGATAACGTGGCACTGCAGTTGGTAACTGTGAGGGAGAAGAGACTAAGACAGGGGATAAGGAAGGCATTCTTATCCAGGTCCCTCCATGTTTCAACACTTAAGTGGCAAAACTATATCCACAGTGGTTCTTTTGGGTGTAAGAATGAAGCTGGAAATTATCTGGCTTTATTGCAGAATGGAGATGATGGCATGTGATCATGCAGGCACCGAACCAATCCAGGGACAGCATAAATGCTGTGTGTGGAAATGTCCTCAGTCTTACCAGTACAGGTATGCTGTTCTCCTTTGAAGAAGTTCTGGGAAGTATAGTTGGAGATTATTCTATTTTATTCCACAAACAACCCTGTGAGATAGATATGTTGACCAGGCATGGGTCTAGTAGTTACATCTGGTCCTGCCTGCCCATCAGTCAGAGGGACTGACTCTGTACACTTCTATTCTTTTCTGTGCCCGAAGAATGATGTAGAACACATTCTGGATGCAAAAGCTCACTGATTTTTCAGACAGATTAATATTTTAAGGGATTCAGAGTTAATACAGTAAAAACATTCTACTTTCTTCTG